ACCCAAATCTGAAAATCCATAACCACAATAGGACAACAAGATACACATGGGTGACTATGACTGCCTGTTCAACTGGGGTAGAAACATGGATGGGACTTCAAGTATATCACAAACCACATCAAATCTCAAGGCAATTGAACTAACACGTACGAATAAGTAGAACCCAGACCACACAAAATAATAGCCATCCGGGCATAGACAAGAGTAGCACTAGTGACCACTGCATCACACACTTCAAACTCGGTTTTGCCCGAAAAAACATATAACTGACCCTTGTCGTCTTGACGGGCAACCTCCTCGCCTGGCTGCACTACTCCTCTACCTGCATTACCATTTCCCCGGCCTCGTTGATTTCCTCCTTATATGCCTAGGTTCTCCATAATTCTAGCAAACTTTATAACTTATATTCGATTGTTGAATACTGAATTAGATCGCAGGGGTTAGTTCGGGTACAATTCGGGGTCCATAATTGTGACTATGAGAAATATGGCTGAGATTTTATCTTGCCCTGTCCTGCTCTGGAGGGAAAAAATCCTGCACTGGCGGTTTTGCGCTGGCAAGTTTATCTCGCCCCAGCGGGTTCGACGGATATAGAATCCCTTTTAACAATTTCTGGGTTCCTCTCTTTTCTATATTTACCCTAGATTTCCCACCAATAACTAGGCATTTAAGAAAATCCATTTAGCTAGGACAATCATTGTCTACCCCCCGATCAACCCAACAAAGTACGCACTTTAGAATCCTTTTACACCGTTTCAACACTACCACATACATATCCCCAGGATACACCCAGACTCTCACACGGTTATCAATTGATCACAACGTACGCCCAGATTTTTCTCTTACGGACCACATCGTAATTTATCTAGACCTTTGTACCTAATCTCGTGATGACTTTCTTTTCACAACAAATTTCACGACACTCAAACAGTTACAACTTGTAGACAAGTCCAAATTCTTTTATTAGTTTGTTCTATTGACGACCATTACTGATAATATATGCCTTATACGCCCCTAAGGCTAGATATCAATTGGAACCTTCTCAGTTTCAATTAACTTGCTTGTGTCCCTTCAGTCGGGACTACGACGTCTAGTTCACTTTGTTGAGATACCAATTGGAATCGGGAGATACCAATTGGACTCGACTCATACCACAAGCAACAATAGTAGCTAGCGAACCCCACAATACTGCTAATTTCAATCATAGAACTTGGTTGAATCCAATTCTTAACCGCCTCAATGTTTAACTGATGGTAACCAGACCTTAAATAAATCTTAGATAAAATTGATACACATTGCAATTGGTCAAAAAGGTCATCTATCCGAGGCAATGGATACTTGTTCTAAATGGTGACCCTATTCAACTGTCGGTAGTTTATACACATCCTCTCTTGCTAGTGATGGTGTTACCACTTTTATTGCTCTAGTTCGTACCATAAAGTGAAGGAGGAAATATACCAATTTGTATCACCCAGAGACCAATTGGATTCAATCCATAGCACGAATGAGTAGAAATAAGTGATTTTTTCCTAAAGTCCTATAGCCTCTCGAAGAAAAGTACGGACGTAATCGTACCGTTCCGCAAGATTCTACTAGACTCGTTTTGGTACAATGAGATCAACAAATCTAGGGATCTGATACCAACTTTGTCACGACCCAGACCATCGTGATTGGCACCCACATTAAACCTTCGATGGGACAACTACTACTACAACCCAACTACACAACTTAACCAAATACTACGCATTTAAAGATATAGAAGCAGGTTTAAATGACAATAAAAATGAAGTCCCCATAAACTCCAAGGTTTTAACAAACAAACAACCAAACTAATATGGAAGAACAACCCCTAGAACCTGAAATTCATTGTACCAAAACTCTACGAACGACAAGTCTAAGAACAAGGGGTACAACCTTGTAACTAAACGAACACCTTTAACAAATAGTCTGAGTCCGAAGAGAGTGGACTTAAACAAGAAAGATCCATGGCAACCTGAAAGAGCTAACTCACCCTTAAATTCGGTCACGCTCAATAGTTACCTAGCTGAGGTCTATCAATAGCCACCTGAAGATGCTTTATACTCAACAAAGAAAGAGCAAGTGCAATATCAGTACACAACCACAGTGTACTGGTAGGATCACACGACTATCTCAATAAGTGAAATACATGCAAGTAACCACAATCATTATAAAACAGGTATATACCGAACATATACACTATTAGTCAACTATTACGAACAACGAACAGTTTCAGGATTCTCACATATCATAGTTATATCAATTTAGAGCAACATACCGTCTTCCAATATCAATTATCATTAGATATGAATGGAATCATCACAAGTAGATACACAACACAATTCAATGGTCCTCTCATGAAACCTACACCCAAACTGTTAGTGTACCAAAATGTGGTACCCGATCCAATATTTATGCCGAAACATGGCAACCGATCCCATAATTATGTAGGAACGTGGCAATCGATCCCATATTTATGCCGAAACATGGCAACCGATCCAAGTTAGTGTGTTAGAACGTAACACCCGATCCATTCAACAAACCACAATCACAATGTATATTCTCACAATCATACAACAAGAGGTGATTCATGGCATACAATTATTCAATTATCCTCATTTACGATTAGGGTGATCAATAATGAAACATTCGCATACATACATGTATTATAATGAGCAATTACAAACATATATCACACCAACAAGAAATCACAACCATCACCTACCTCGAATCCAAGCTTAAATCCCCTAAGACACTTGAATCTTCCTTTCCGGATTCTTCCCGTTGTTCGTGATCTAAAAATATACAATTAAAGCAAGGATAAACAATCAAAGGTCTAATTATCCGGATTATAACAAACCCAATAACCCTAGACCAACCCATGATCCTAATACCCAATTTAGGGCTTTTTCCACCATTAGTTTCAGATCAAAACCCTTCCCCAACAATAATTACCCACGAATTTATATTCTACGGATCGAAAAATGGATTCGGGGAGTAAAAACCTTACCTTTAGCCTTAAGAATGGTGGAAAACTGTCAAGAAAACCTCTGGGGTCGTTCCTTAGCTCTCAAAGTCGAAAAGTGCATAATAAAACGTTTTTAGGGTTTATTTTCGACTTAAGTCGCGACTGTACCGCAACAGCGGGACCCAACCCGCCACAGCGGCCCCGCCCTGGCGGGATAAATCCCACCCTAGCGGCTTGCACGGAACCAGTGAGCAAAATTAAGAATTCCAAACCCCCATTTCACAACACACCTTCATCCCATGACACTCAGAAAATACTCTTTCACGCTTAGATCGGTTTCGGAAGTTCTACTCACCCGAATTCAATTCCTTAAAGTCGTACGGGTTCCTTAATGTCTTAGTTATCTAGTCATATTATCAAAATCATAATTAGATCTCTTATATGTTACCAGATTTCCCTAGACTTCACTGACTCCGATTTCGTCCAAATCTCGATTAGGCTAGAAAATCCAAAGTTACTACTCAAATGTTTTCTGGCCCTAATTCTTTCCCCATTGGCTTTTCTATAACGACGGAAACCTGTCGTTACATTACTACAATGATATGTTTTACTTTTTGCATTAGAAATCGGAAGATAAATATTTTTTTTAAAAATGATTTTAAGAAAATAAATTAATAGGTTTGACTTAGATTGTTGCCACTTTTAATAATATAATACTCTTCAGATAACAGAAATCCCCTGTATGTGATTACTTTGGTGTAGACAAGATCCTTGGTAATGTCGACCTTCTTAGGATTGTAAACATAATATGGGCCAGAACCGTTGAAAATCACTCCACGAGATCTTGTTGATGAGCTCAAACACACACCAAAATTCTTGTTTAATGTAGGGTTTAAAGCAAGTTGATTGGGAATGGAAAGTAGACTTTAATTTCATGTCCAAAACCAACAATTCATGGTAAGACATAATACAATTGAATAATCAAAAAGTACTGTCCTTCCCTCAAATAGGTTAACTTTTAGCTACAAGCAAAAAACATTTTCAATCCACCCATAAGCTTCTACCACCAAGATGGACTAAGAGTTTTATGGGGATTAAAGGAGTTCTTTGACCTACTTCTGTTATGTATTGTAGAGTTGATGCATCTTTGGTGATTGGAAGATATAAGGTTGTTTGTGGTATTTGACATGAACATAGAAAAATAATATTGAGTAGAGGAAAAAAGTGTAATTGGAAAATAAGAGAAATTTGAATGTCTCCATGCTAATGCTAGAGAAAGAGAGCAAGTGCTACTATAATTTATTTATACATGATACATCTATATATGAAAGTATGACCCAACTTTGTTTTGAATTTCTGTTTTATTATTCTAATTGCCTTGGGAGTAAAACTCTTTTATGACTCATTAATTTAGTCAGCGTGATCCAGAGGAGAAGTATGGAGTCTCACATGTACATGCCCAATTTGACTAATTTGAATAGATAAAACAGATACTTACTTTGTTTCAATTTGTTTATCCATTGTTTATCTAGTCTTGATTTGTGAGTTTAAGAAAGGAAAGTATAGACTTTTAAATCTAGTGGTATTATTAAACTAAAGATAAGTAGAATATATCAAAATATCCTTTAATTTTGTGACAGGTGGAAAGTTAAAATTAAAAAAATGTTAAAAAGAGAAAGAGAATGTACTACATCGAACGGATCGGATTGTGGCACCATATAAGGTATTTCTCGATCTTCTACTTTTATGAGGAGAATGAATCTTTTTCTCAAAGAAGTTGGTCTAAATCTCCTCCAAGTGATTAGGTTTGATATGCAGAGTTGGAAAAAATATTTGTGAACAGAAAAAGAAAACATGTATTTCTATTATTTTAACCATATAATAAAAGAGAATTCAAAAAAATTCTTGCGACATATTTGCTCTAGAAACACGAGAATCATTTCAAATTTAACAATTGAGTTGCAATAGTTGAGCAAATTACATAGCATAATAGAAGTAAGGGAAATAATTATTAATGTAAAAGTAGTTGAAACTTGTTATTACTATAAGAAATAGGAAATTATACTAGAATGGTACTTTGTCCATAATAGTATTATCGTACTGAGAGCATGATGTTTGTTTGAGCTTGAGTGAGGAGCTGAAACCTATTTTCCTTCCTGGAAGATCAAACACCAATAGGTTCTCTTCCAATTGATATCCTCCTATCACAATCGATGGTAACCATGTTTGGTCTTGTCTCACAAATGCTAAACACATAACATCCTTACTAACTTGTATCATCGAATTTGCCCCAGAAATCCTCCAAAACACACTCGGTTTGTAGAAGACGATATCTATAGGAGGAACATCTGGTCCAACATTGGTGTTTTTAATGTTTTCAGAACTAAAGCAAGTTGCAAATGGACTCATAGGAGGAGGCTCTACAATTGTCACATTCTTAGAAAGCGCGTTAATGAAAGCAGTTTTAACAGAATCGTAAAAGGTAGTGTGCAAAATTGTGTAAGGTATAGCTGTGCTGATGCTAGTCCCATCAGTTCCATGTCGTTTCTTATTTATAATTAGCAATGTTTTATTTAGTGGGACGTCTTGCCCCGCGACTCGAATGGATGACATTTGGAAATAATACTCATCAGTTTGTAAAAATCCTCTCTTATTTACAAGTAGTTTGGTGTAGGCAAGATCCTTGGAGTTGGAGATGTCGATCTTCTTAGGATTGTAAAGATAATATGGGTTAGGACCAATGAAAATAACGCCACGAGATGAGCTCAAACACATACCAAACTTCCTGCTAAATCTAGGGTCTGAACCAAGTTGATTGGGAACAGTAATTGGAGTTGTTTGTCCAAAACCTGCTACTCCTGTTGAGGCATAACATGCATAATTGAAATCATCAGAAGTTGTCCTTAAACATATTATAATATTCGTATAGCTATAAGACTTTTGAAATGTGTTAAATGTCATAATAATAAAGTTAAAATAGAAATTTGAAATAAATTAGTTGTATACATAAAACAAAATATATCATTTTTTGGACTGAATTAATAAGAAAATAGTGTCAAGCAAATTAAAATTCCAAAAATATTGATTTAAAAGTGAAGCATATAAATCGTCCGAAAAAACCATTTACACATTGATATCGTTCACCCCCTTATACTTGTTTATAATGAAATCCCCATCCCCCCTCACCCCATCCACCCCACTCCGCTCGGTCTATTAGTGAACCATCTCCATCTCTCTAAGAATTGTGAAAGATGTTTTCACCTAAAACGCTCTCTATTAAAGGTGACTTTAATTTATACTCGATGAGACTCGACCCTGAAACCTCTTGGTTAATGATAAATGAGTATTTACCACTTTACCACAACCCTAATTAAAAACAGAGAGGAGTATTTACTAATTCAATTATTAAAAACTGTGTTCCTTCTGTTTCAATTTTGTTTGTTTGATTTTGACTTGATACACAAGTTTAAGAAAATTAAAAAAAAATCTTTAAATTTTGTGGTCTTAAATTAAAATGTTTCAAAATATCATTTAATTTTGGCCTCTTAAACATACCATATAGAAATTTAGAATTAGAAATTAAAATTGTCAAAAAAAAAAAAAAAAAGACATTTTGTTAAAAAACTAAGAGGACATGCAGTATAAGAGAAACAAATTGAAATGGAGAAAGTAATAGTTTCAATTTCGATACCTTTGACTCCATTGGCGAGTTTTTCGAGCATAGAAGGATCAATAAGGCAAGTGAAAATAAAGCGCGGCGAAGTGACTAGAACCCCAGGAGAAGAACCAATGGTCAATACATCCTCAGCAACTTCAGAACCATCATGATACATTTTCTTGATGGGATTTTCACCCCAAATGTAACAAGTATTGTTGTTGCATCCAAGCTGCAATTCACTTCTAAATTTGCAATCTCCACAGCCATAAGATTTGGCCATAGAGCATTCTGTAGAATTACATACAGCTGATTTGTAAGTTGAACTTGTATGAATTGTACTATTGGTACAATCCACCCATAAGCTTTTACCACCAAGATGGAGTAAGAGTTTTGTGGGAATTAAAGGAGTTTTTTGACCTACTTCTATAATGTATTGTAGAGTTGATGCATCTTTAGTGACTGGAATGTATAGTACTTCACTTGAGCATTGAAAAATATTGAGTAAAAGAAAAATGAGAAGTATAGATAAAGGAATTTTGAATGTCATCATGCTAGAGAAAAAAAGAAAGTAAATGATATAATTAGACCAATGAGGGATTCTAATTTATAGTAGTAATAATAATTGGTTTGTAGTTTTCCCTTTTTTTTATTTTTTCAACGTTACTATAGTCTATATGGACAATATATGAGCTATGACCCACCCATGTTTGAATATCTTTGTTTATTATTGACATTAGTAAAACTCTATAATGCATCCTTATTTCTTACTCTAATTTTTTTAAAATGTATTCTATGTACAAAAAGAAAATAAGAATAATACAATATGTTTTTTAATTTTGTTGCATCTGACATTATGTCCTTTAATTTTAAATGTATATAAGTAGATATTTAAATTAATATAGAATTGATCAAGTATATATACATATTTTATGAGATATATAATACTATAAAATATCGCATATGACACAAATTATCACTATTATGACAAATAGGACGCGTTTATCTACTCTACTAAGACAGTAAGATGAAGATGAGAGTATATGATCACAACTTTGACTTTGAATTAAATCTAGTCAGTATATATATGGAGATATCTCATGCACATGCCAAGTGGACTAGGAAACAGAATTATACGCGTGTTTGAGATTCGTTATGCTCACATCTCATCTCAATTTAGATTTATACGCGTGTTCGATATTCATATTGAAGTCTGATTAAATTTAAATTTATATGTGTGTCTGATATTTATATTAGAGTCTAATTAAATTTTGATTAATGTCAAAATTTCACATTTAGGGTAAAGTGTTTTTTAACAAATGCAATTTTGTACGTAGGGATTCAAATTTGCAACCTCTAATTAAATATGAAGGAGTACTTACTACAACACCACAATCTGCCTTCTTTATCCTCGTATCATTATTGAAGTTTTTCAAGCGTTTGTTTTCTTATAACAACTAGAAAAGAGAAACATTTACTTTTTCTTGTTTGGTTTGTGTGAATACAAAGATAGTAAGGAAAATTTAAAGTTGCTTAACTTGTCGGGGAGGACCATGCTGCAATTTTTAGATTTAGTTTTAGTTCCTCTAAAATTAATTTATCGAAGCAATTAATTAAAGTGAAAAATAAACATTGTAATATTTTTTATATTTGCAATTCGAATTGTGTCGATTGTCCCCAAATGTGACTGTTAGTTTCAAGAGACCATAATTCAAATTGTATACATTATATCTGTAGTTCTTCTACATTGAGAGGCATCTATAAATTATTTTTTATGTTAATGATAACAAGATTAAAAATTATTGCAAGAAAATGAAATAAGGAAGGCAAATAAAACTACAAAGAAAATAAGTGTTATAAAATCAAATTTTGAAAGGAAGTTTATGTATTTATTTCTTTATTTGTTGCATGTAGTCACAATGTAGATCATAAAGTTATCTAACTTGAGGGACTTAATTAATAAAAAATAAACATAAGTGATCTTATTGAAGAATTTGCTATAGTTGAGTTGACTATTTAAGTTGGGAGAAATTACACAAATACAACATTTTAAAAAGTTACAACTAATTTCAGAGAAAATTATAAGGTAGTCTTAATTAATTTGTGATGATACTTGAGTATTTTGCTGCACAACGTCACACTCTCTTCATCTAATTCAAGTAGCACTTTTTTTTTCTTTTTTGGGAGTTGCTAACGAATTTTTTAAGTTAAATTCAACCAAGTTAACTCAATAATTTAAAGTTTAAATATTCAAAAATTACATCAAAATATTAATAGTTTTAATTCTTTTCAAACCAATATGATAAAAAACTATATATTAAAAGATTTTATAACATAATGTACATAGTTTAAATCTCAAAAAATAGATGTTCCCAAATTGCGTTATATCATAAAGAAAATACTTTTGGAGTATGGAAAATTAGTCAGAGTTATATGTTAGGTGTTATAACAATGTGTTGGTCTTTTAGCATTTTAATATTAATCTTTAGTAATATAAATTTGCTATTTTTGGAGTTTAAAGTGCTGCCTTCCCTTACTTTAATTAATTGCTGCCTTTTCAATTGTTGTTGATTGGCAATTCATTGGCTTCTATTGGAATATTTTTATTGGCTGCTTTACTCCATTTTGGAGTTGGTTCTTATGCTACAATTTTTTCAATGAATTGTGCATGTCACAATTCGAGTCTGCATCCCACCGAGACACATTATTTAGAATTATGAGTGGCGCCAAGTTAATCGTTGACATAACATATCAAAGCATATCATATGAAATTAATGCGGAATGAAATACGTGCTTAATAAGTCTTAATAATGAAATCAATAAATCTATGATGATTGAACAACTATTGTCTGAAATATGCCTCTAACATTTAGACTGAAGGAAATAAGTTTACTGAAATATGGACCTCAGTTACCTCAAACCAAATAAACAAAGAAACTACTAAAATCTGACTAACAACTAATCCAAGGAATTCCCCGTATGGGGAGGATTCACCAATCATTGGCTGGAACTGCTGCAACTTCACTAGCCACGAGTTTGAGTATGGGCGCTGAAATCTACATCATAAAAGGATGTATCGCAGAGAAAAGTATGCATTAGTATATGGAATGTACTGAGTAAGAAAGGGGCACTAGCATAATCGTAAAAATAACATAACGAGGATAGTGAAATAAGGTTTTCAAATTCATGTACATTAGTAAGAGAACTTGAGGAGAAAATAATTGGGTTCCTCTCTAAATACCATTCAAAATCCTCTTTCAAAAGCATATATAGAGATGAGTCTATTTCAGTAGCCTTGCATAATCATAAATGTAAATAACATACTTTAAAATGAATCAAATAAAGTAAGAGCATATCGTTAAAGATGCATAAATTGGAGAGTTTCTTAAAATCGACATACACCATGTGAGCTCATGATGTTCAACAACTAACCCAGTTGGGAGGGCTGCCCTATACCTTTCCAGAGTATAGAACCATATCATTATATCTATGTGGATCCACTAATCTGAACCTATCAGGGCTAAATGATCAACCGCCAAAGCGGTGAAACATAATTCTACGATGGCACATAGCTATGAGACTTGAATTTTCTAAACATATGTCCTCTCGGTGCTAAATAGTCCTCCGAAAATAACATATATACATATAATTCTCATTGGTATGAAAACCATCTATCTATTTGAATCATATGTGAAACAAGCTCGAAAGTCATATCTAAAATAACTTGACTTTAGATTGAAATTCATATCATGCTAGTTTTCATGCATACAAGTCATAAGAGTTTGAATGACCATAAAAATCATGTTAAGTTAGCTAGTACAATGAGATTTAAAGCCAAAGTGAAACAATGAAAACCTAAGCTAATGAAGATCACAATTTCATAATAAAACTAGTTTTACTTCTACCAATTTTGTGAAATTCTTGAGAATTAATATACTTTAGACATGCGAGTGAATGAATACTCTCATTGAAGCCTTATATACCTGAGAGTAGGGGTGTACAAAACCGAACCGAAAACCAAAACAAACCGCAAATCGAGTCAAATCGGAAAAAAAACCCGACTAGTGGTTTGGTTTGACTTGGTTTGGTATTGGAAAAAAAACTCTACTATATTTGGGTTGGTTTTGTTTTAACTAAAAAAAACCAATCCGACATTATATATGTAATTTTAAAATTTTATTTTATACATAAAAATATTTACTTTGATATAATTTTAAAATATTTCTCATACTATTTCATAGTTTTTATCTTTTTATATATTATTTCAAGTTTAAAACTTAGAATTCGGAATGGTCCAATAAAGATTATAGTTCATAGATGTTGATAATTATAATAAAACTTAAATCAAAATTAAATTAATACTAATGCAAAAAGGAAATCAATTCAACACTAAGAATGACAATAATATTGAATATTTATTCTTTATTTTTACATTGGTTTAGACAATTAAAATACATAATCTAATTTTAATTTTCCTTAAATATTTAGTAATATAACTAATACTTATTAAACTTATTTTAGCATGATTTAGTACTTTTAAATTATGATCATTTTCATTATGACTTTGCAATATTTATTTTATATGATGATTTCATTATTATTTTTTATTGAATATTTTATTGGCATCAGTACTCATCTCATATTTTGTGTTATTTTCTTAAGAAACACCTTAGATAATTGTATTTTGGTTGGACTAAAGAAATATTTGGAGCACAAGTTAATTATATGTTTGTATGCAACCTTTCCCGAAAAAATCCAAGGTTTATTAGTTTGGTTTGATTTATAAATTTAAAAATTCGACACAATGGTTTGGTTTGGTATTTGAAAAATCCAAACCAACCCGAGGTTGAAAAACCCGAAAAAATCCGAATTTTATTAGTTTGATTTGGTTTATAAATTTAAATTTTTTATACAAATGGTTTGGTTTGATATTTAAAAAAACCCGAACCAACCCGGTCATGTACACCCCTACGGCCCTACCTGAGAGATTGAGAATCTAAAGAAGAACTTACTTGAAAAACTTGAAACTCTAGCTTTGCTTTTCTGAGTTTGGAGAGTTGAGAGCGTAGAAGACAAAGAAAACTAAGTACTTGATGAAATATATTCCCTTAATAGAAGTTAAAACGTCACGGCTTAGACTTAGGAAGAATGAAAAAAGAACAAAATAACTCCAATTAAAAAACTTGTGAGAAACATTTCATGAGGCCATCTACGATCTGTGGTTTGATTTACAGGCCATAGATCCCATCTGTGGACGTTAAACTAAAATTTTGAGTTTTTGAAGTTCATTCTACAGACCCAAATTATGACCCGTAATCATATCCATGAAAATCAGGTCCAAAAACAAGTTGAGGGACTTCACTTTACAGGCACAATTTATGGCATGTAGGTGATTTTACAACCCGTAATTGGATCCATAAGAATCAGACAAAAAAATTCCGTCTCTGAAGCTGGTTTTATGAGTTTATAGTATGGGTCATACTATAATTTACGATTCGTAAATAAGGTTCGTAGTTATTGGACTTTGAAAATTTTGTTGTGGTAGTCTTTGGT